ATATGTTTTCGAAAAAACCGGACACATTCTTTCACCATCTCTGTAAACTCATTCTACGAGGCATAAGGGATGTGTCAAAAGAGCACTTTTCCCCAAAATTTGGCACCTGTGTAGATACGCCAAATTTTGGAAAAGGCTCTTTCAGAAGTAAATAGGAAAGATACGCAATTTGCATAGTGCAAATTGCGTTTCTTTTTCTGATTTAACTCTGCAGGCTAGACGTAGCCTTAGTTCAGGAACCTCCTCACCAGCATTCTAGTATACTGTAGTCCTCCTCTCCTCCCCCCACCATTCAGATCATTTACAAACAATGTAAATGGTAAATTAGACTGTGGCCCAGTGACCTTTCCCTCATGGCTGCTTGCATTGCAGAAGGGTTTCCTGTCAGTCCTAGGGTTGCCATAACCTCTGCACAGTCCCACAGAGGAAGTGAGCTCATTAGCACGAGCATCTCCCCAAAGCAGGTGTGCAATGCCTGAGTTTGGACTTGCTTCCTTGGACTTACGCACGAGTCCAACACATTGGCTGAGCTGATGTACAGCCGGCATGTGAAGCCTTCTGGGATTTGAATGCACCAGAAGGCTGCATGAAAACGTAACTAGACAGGATTTGCAGTGGATATTAACTGTTTTCAGCAGGGGGGGGAGGGAATCCAGTGGTAACTTTTCATGTATCAAAATGTTCTGGGTGCAAGAAATTTCCTTTGTTCAGTAATTACTGTATGTCCCTTCTCACAGGCTATAGTTCCTGAGATAAAAAGATCTGAAACTTTGTCTGGAATCAGATAACGGGTTATACTGGAGTCGCTATCACTGGAAACTTTTAAAATCAAAATAGGAATTAATTCAGGGAAGTCATTTGGCCTGTGCCATACAGATGATCACAGTGGTTCATTTTGACTATATCATGTATGAATTGGTCCAGGCAGGATCTCTAATATCTTGGTATAGTGCACTGACATGATCTTGGGTAAAAAGTGCCAGAGTTCCATTTTTCACAAGTGATTTAGTAGACTAGTAACTCTCACTAATCTTATTGGAATTGGTCCAAGGAAAACCAGTTTCTCCGAGCTAAATAGCCTTTAATAATAAATTAGCAATGATAGCTGGGGTGCTTGTATAGTGCTTTCATCGGTAGTGCTCAAACCACTTTACAAAGGAGGTCTGTACAAAGGACTGCATTCTACTGATGATGCAAATTGCAGAATGAAAAATTAACAGCTATTAAAAACTTTTGGGATTCACTTGTCAAACCCCATTGCCTGCAACCTGAATGTATTACCATCACGACAGGTTTTGTTATCATACTCTCACCATTAAACAGCAACATCGAGCTGGCTCCATTGAAAGAAAAGATTAAATTTTAATAGGCATTTATTTAGATGAGTGGAGAGAGTCTAGGGGAAAGCAGAGTGAGCACAGGGGGCCTCACATAAACTTACTGTGGCCCCAATTTTAAAATGTCTTGTGGAAGGTATATTGGCTTTTGAGAACTCTTCAGGGAATCTCTTGGCCTGTGTCAAAGATCTTTTCTAAATATTGGTTGGTTAGGCAGTGTGCGTGTTTGGGGGTGGTACTTAGGTATGCTTCAGTTCCCCCTACTTTTCCCTTTGTTTTATATACCTGGTATGTTTTATTGTAAGATCTTGTCATGACTGTTTGTACTGTGTCTAGCAAGTTAAGGTCCGGATCCCTCCATTTCTTAGTTGTTTAATTTGAGATGGAGCCAAATCCATGCTTGGCTGAACTCCAGTGTGTTAGGAGAAATGTGCCAGGGAGGCATTTGGAGCATGATCTTTTAACTGTTGCTGAATGCAAGAGAGACAAACCGAATGGGTCGGAATTTCCTATGCAGTAGCACTAATTTAGCTTGTTCTTTAAAAAGAAAAGGCAATTATTACACGCCACAGTCACTGAGAATTCTTTCCTCTTGATCACTGCTCCAGGACCAGTGCAAGGAAAAAATCTACTGATCCTGAAAACATTTGTAAAGGGCTGCCAAAGCGTTTCTAATGTTGGCACGTCATAAGCCATAGGACTTGACAGCTTGTGTGTCACTTTGTTTATTAAAATAATTTACTTCCCCACATGCCATATTTGTTGTGTAGTGGAATGTGAATGGCCTATGACTGAGAACCTCTCAATAGTGCCACAGATCTTAAAATATGTAATTAATGTACAACTCCTCTACGCACCTCTCTCTCCCAGAGAAACCAGAGATGGTAGTTCTACACCATGCCATTAGAAAATGCTCATCACTTTCTCCATTTTCAAGGCAGCAAAGCGGGCAAAACACTGGCCTCTGTAATGGGCGAGCTGTCTAAATGTTTAGCCGATCTCCTGTCAATTTCACTGGTTCAGCTGGCTGGACATTCCTTTCCATGACTGGATTTGCAAGAGTTTACAAAAACTGTTTGTATAAAAATCAAGGGGTCAGATCCTGAAATGAGGGGCAGTCCCTTTGTTTAGGGACATATGATCACCTGCCCTGAACAACTCTTGGTCTTATCCCAATACTCATCCAATAAACTGAATCCCCAGGAGACAAGATTTCACATTTGGTATGTATGAATGACTGAGTGACGGGGACGCAAGTAAGCTAAATTTAGCTAACAGTGTAGTTTTCAACAAACTAATTTAATACAGGTTGGACCTCCCTGGTCCAGCACCCTCGGGACTTGACTGATGAGGGATTATGCTGGACATGGGAAGGTCATATCTGACCCCCCTGCTACTGCCCTCCCCCCACATCCCTGGACTGGCCACCAGCCTCCCCACTGGCTCCCCTTGCTGCCCCAGCCCTGCTGCCATGCACCAGGCTCCCGGTCCCACAGCCCTGTTGCTGGGCGCCAGACTACAGCCCCACCAGGCAGCCCCCTCATCTTCCCAGCTAAGCCAGGCAACCCAGCCTCCAGTGTGCTGGGCTCCCAGCCTTGCAAAGCAACTCTACTGAGGTGTTCTGGGCTCGCAGTCACACCTGGCAGCCCAGCTGATACAGGCTACACTACAGCCCTGCCAGGCAACCTCACTGGGGTGTGTGGGGCTCTCGGCCCCGCCGGGCAGCTCGACTGCCACGCATCAGGTTACAGCCCCACAGGCAGCCCAGCCGAGTTACGTCTGGTAGCCCCGCTGCGGGGAGCCCAGCCAGCAGCCCTTCACTGGGACTTTCTGGTCCTGGAACACCGGTGGGCCTGCGGGACCACAGATGTTGCCAGCTACGAGCGTCCCAGATTACAGAGATTCAACCTGTAGTTTATTGTTCCTTTTCACACACTGTAATTTTCCTTTTCTGGACAGAGGATGCCAAGTACTAACTGTTTAACTGTGGTTTTATTGATAGATTCGCTTTTCATGGCGATCTGCACGTTAAACATTCACCTAGAACTATAGTCTCTCTTCTGGCCATCCCATTCCATCTACAGATGATAAAAAAGCCCACTGCATGAGTTATAACTACAATTTAATAAATACTTTACAAAAATAATGCAAGTTTTTTTTAAATCATTGATAACAGCTCCTTATCCCCTGCTCTCCTCCTCCCCCCTGCCCTCCCCGAACAAAAAAACCCCCTCTTTAAAGAATAGCTTTTTCTGTATAATACTGTGCAGTCAGGACATGCTGGAAGGAGAAAGAATAAAAAGGCGGCTTCTTATATCCTAGTGAATATGTTCAAAACACTATATTCTGGTTTTAATTTTTTTTAAATGCACTCCTGTCTTCTAGTACATGTAGCAATTAGGAGAACTGGAATTTCTTAGGTTTTGGTCAACATCCCATTTCTTTTAACTACATTCTTCAGCTTCAGCAAATTTTGGCCTTTTAGGTCCGGATTCTGCAAAGACTTACTACCCTGATGTTTTATTTGCACACACTGTGTGGCAGATTCTCTAGTGGTGTGACTTGTCGGGACTCTGTTCTCTTCCACAGAGCTGTGACAATTCGTGCCAGCTGTACGCTGAAGTCACTGACTTCTTCTCACAGTATGGGAAGTTAAGCACATTCATAAGTTATTGCAGGATCAAGGCCTTTTGGTGGAGTCTTTTGATGGAGCCCACAGGAACATGGAAACCCTAAAATATATACACAAGCTAACACTAGGGATGTTAAGAAGCAGGTATTTCACTTTTATCGACTACATGATTAGTCGATACGGGAAGGCGCTCAGTCCCGGCTCGTGCTGGGTCTGAGAGCGACCCCTGCTGTGGCTCCTCAGTTTAAATGTAGTAAGAGCAGGGAGGACAGGAAGCCCGACTTATACTACCTTTAAACTGCAGGGCCTGACTGATAGAAGCAGCAGTGCTTGTGGGGAGGAGAGAGGGGACGGGCAGGGTGGGAGGGAGACTGGGCAGACAGCACAGAGGAGACTGTGCTGCAGGGAACTGGCTTTTAAGCCGGCTCCTGCTTCCCTTGACAGACTCAAGCAAGGGCAGGGGGGAATGTGACTAACTGATAAGCCTAGGCTTACATCCCTAGCTAACACCTGAGTGACTGGAAGGGTAATGGGTCCTTCAGCTGAGAAAGATTAATGTTGGCATTGGTGTATTGATCTCCAGCATGTCTACCTGCTTTCCCCTCCAATAGTTAATCTATTTCCCTCCCAAACCTTCCCCTCTTTTTTAGAGATATGATTAAATACTTTCAATAATATAGCTCCAGAGAAAGTGTTATTTTAACAGCTGTGTTTACATTAAATAAGTTACATATAAAAACTTAAGATAGTTTAGGCTCTTCTGCCCCGATACAAAAAAAACCAACCAACCAAACTGTCCATGTGGCAGAGCAGGTAAACATGGGCTTAGCGATAAGCATAGACTTAAGTCCCATTGACTATAATAATGTGGTTAAATGGCTTGCTGATTCAGGGCATCTGAGCCGGATTCCAAATTCACTTATTCTAGGTTTACCCTGCAGTTAGGGACCAAGTGTGCATCATTTAAAATCAACATGAGCTTGGGCATTGACTTACATGGGAGCAGGATCAGCGCTTTACACGATGTAAAATCTGAAGCAATCCCTTTATTCAGCATGAATTTGTTCACACTATTTTTCCACAGCTGGGTTTTTCCCCTTTCTTTTGAAATAAAATGAACTTTATTGCTAGATAATCTTCATCATAAAAGTTTTATGTACGTTTGTGTGCAGAGAAGCGTGAATGTGTGTGAGATATATGCATATATAAATTACACACACACAGAAAAATACACATGTATTATATACAAATATATACACTCCTACTAAAGATATTGATCAACCCCTTTTCATAAAGATAATGCAGCAAATTCAGGTTTGTGCCATCGATGAAAATAATCCTCATGGTCCTGTCTGAGAAGGGAAATCCCTTCAGTATTCCCTTGCTTCCTGAAACTGCTTGTAATAATCTTCATCTGAAGGGTTTTCTGTACATTTCTGACCATTGTTAGGGGGCCGTGCTTCATTGTATCGACTCCAGTCTCCTTTGCATATAATCCAAGGCAAAATGTCCACTTTGTAATGGAGCTCGGCAGAGAATTCCACACTGATCAGGTTTGGTGTGCCCGCTCCTTTTCCCCTAGTAATCAGTTGCATATTGTCATCATAGCAACAGTGCTGGGCTGCTAGAGTCGTGCTCTCCAAGGAAAGCATAGACCGGATGCAATAGCGTGCTGTCGGCTTGTAGATCTCCAGTTTTTCCTTTGGACCACTTGCATCTTTCCAGCGAAAGTTTTTCCGCTTAATCCGATCATAGATCTCGGCAGTACTATAAGCGACTTCTGTTGGGTAGGAGCAAGGGCAGCTAGGAAGATCAGTAACGACTTTGTGCATGTATTTCTTCAGGAACTCGCTTTTGCAGCTCATCCATCTCTCACAGCTATCCATATCTGTGTGGGGAGGGGAGATGAAAAAGCCTGAAGGTATATTATGCAGCATGCAAATTAATGACATAGCTACAGGGATAACAAAGGGAAGATCGCCAATGAGAGAAATGTAACTGCTTAGCAGAAAGTTCTATAGAACCAACAAAAGGCTATGAAGTATGCCTGCTTATAGTGTGGTGACTTCTCTGGTTATAGGACAAGCCAGAAAACAAGTATGTGAATGACACGTATTACAGGAAAAGGCCATCTTACTGTGAATGACATGGCCACAAGTATCCTTGACATTTAGGCAACTTTCATCTTTTTAGGCTTTCAAAGTGGCTCACAAGTATTAATTGAGCCTGACAGCATCCCAACAGACATTATCCCCCAGTTTTGCAAGGGAGTGAATTGGAAGCATGGAAAGGTTAAATGTCTTGCCCTAGGTTAAATAGTGAACAGAATTGTGACTAGAATCCAGCAGCCCTACCCTGTTAGCTTCAAAACCCCAAATCACACGGCCTTCCTGTAACACTCTTTGGGGGTCTGAAACCATAAATGAGGCTCAACTATTTTGTAGTAACAGTAAAGATTCCAAACTAAGCACAGCGTGTGTTTATGAAAAATACGTGGGTTAGGGTTTCATTTATTTTTTTCTCTGCCTCTCCAAAAGGATCCTTTGGGCAGCTGCAGTTTGAACATGGAGAATGGTCTACCATGGCCAGGAAGCAATTCCATGAAGTACCATCAGACAATGTTTGTAAATTACCATGTTCTAAATAACACACGACCTGTGAATAGTCGTGTGGGGTAGATGGGTGACCAGGGCAGGAGCACATTTATAGTTGATATTAAGGGGATTATGTTGAAGGGGACTGGAGAGAATCGGTTTCTCATTTTGGTTATTTGGGGGCCCAAATCACATCAAACTATGGGTCTTCTATATTACTTATGTTATCAGCACACAATGGATCTCATCTTACTATATATTTTAGAAATTTTGTGCAGCTATCCGTCCGTCCATGATTCTGCTCAAGAACTTCTCCTATACTCTAAGAGCTAGTTATGCTGCTATCTATCATCAGAACTTAAAGGAAGGCAAGAGTTTGGTTGTGCCAGGACAATGGGATATGCCTGGAATCTGATTGTTTTCCATAAAATGGGAAGGGGCAATTATGCTCCTGAATGACCACAGGGGGGCAGCAGGTGTGCAGGACAGTTATACTGCAGAATGACCACAGAGGGGCAGAGCAGTTCCCCAGGGAGCAGCTGATGGCTGAAAGCATGGCCCCTGACATTCTGGTCATCTCTGGGGAACAGCTATTGGCCAGCCAGAGCAGCTCCCACCACACCCTGGAAGAAGGTGGTGGATGGGCTGCGTGGCTTCCCCTGTGGACTGCTCCTCTCCCCCACACTCTGGGCACAACTCAGGTCAGCCCCGCCAAGAAGTTGATGGCCCTCACTGCCCCTGTGTGACCCTTGCTGCCCCTGGGCTAGCCCTGGGGAGAAGCCGGTGGCAACCCCCACTCTTAGCCCTGAGCCTCCCACACTTCCCAACCACCTGCTCTGACTCCTAAATACCACCCCCTGCTCTGAGCCCCTTCTCACTCCCAACCTACCTTGAATCCCCCAAAGCCGGTGCCCTGACTCCTGCACCCCCCACACCCTCACCCCCCTGCCCTGAAGGACTTGAGCAATGCCAGGTAAGTATTCTAGTCATATAAATAAGGTGAGCAAAGCTGGGGCCTAAAGCTACACAGCAAACACATTAGCTCAATTTCATGTTCAGTTTTAAAAGTCACATGCCTAGCTGTCAACGATGCTGTTGTTTGCCTTAGAAGTGTACACTTGCATGCCAGATAATGCTGTTGATCCAAATTCTCTAGTATTCTACCTCTCACTAAGCGACTAATCCCTGATGCTTCCATGATACGGTATAAACCCTCACCGTACACAGGGCTAATTATGTGCACTGCTGCACATGAGTGGGAAAAAGTTACCTTCAGCAATCAGCACATGTCCTGAGGCTTCATTTGCATGACCTACCTTGCCATCCCTAGCTACAAACGCTATTATTGCTCATAAGATTATCCAGCTCACATCAGTGGCAGGTGTCACTCTTATAAAAAGATGACGAATGAAGTATGGCGATAGCGCCTGCTAACTGAGGATATCAAAGTGCTTGCAAATTGTTTTATACCTGGGGAAACTGAGGCACAGGGAGTGACCTGGTGAATTGCTGATAGTTATTCAAAAAGAATCATGTGATAGAGCATGGGGCAGAACCAAGGTATTCTGAGGTCCAACAGTAATTTTTACTATGGATGTTAAATATTGATTAATTAACTAATCAAATAGTCGATGGGATTTCCATCGACTATTCAACTAGTAAATAAGGACTAGCATGCGTTCCGCCTTTGAAATATGCTTTTTAAAGATTGAAATGTTGTGTGGAGCCCAGGGCCAGCAGGGAGTCCTCTACTGAGTCTGGGCTCCGTGCCGGCACTTCCGCTTTGAAATGTACAAAAGCCCCAGCGGAAGAAGCGCCATATGGAGCCTGGGGCCAGCAGGAGACTCTGACCCCAGCGGAAGAAGTGCCATATGGAGCCTGGGGCCAGCAGGAGACTCTGAGTCCCCCGCTGACCCTGGGCTCCATGTGGCGTTTCAATCTTTGAAATGTACAAGAGCTCCCATGGAGGCTCTTGTACATTTCAAAGAGGAATCATTGCCACAGCACCCCCGCCCCGTCCCACGGAGCTGAAGCTAGGGGGAACCGTCTTTTAAGCCGGCTCCCCCCAGCACCGCTTCCTCTTCCCACCCCTTGCTACCTCTTTGTGATAGAGGCAGGGGGAGGAGGAGGGGGAAGCGACTAGTTGACTAATGTGTTGACTATTCAATAAGATTTTGCTTATCGGATAGTCGACTAGTCGCTTACATCCCTAATTTAGATGATGACGCATTTTTATAATAGAGGCTTATACACTCAAATGATGTTCTGTTGGTGAGTGTTTTGTCTCTTGCATTAAGAGATCCTAGAGTGTCAGCTGCTTACCAAGTTCGAACAGCTTGGTGGCATTGAACTCTTCGCTTCCTGCAAGTAAGCTCACCTCCGTGGCAGCCGTCCGGAAGGTGTCTTCAATCCCTAAAGACAAACAACCACAGAAAATGTGTTTTCCTAAGAGAAAAATCACAATGGAAACCAAAAGTTCTGATTGCATTGCCTCTGCTGAATTTAGTGCTAGAGGAAAATATTAACTGTATAATGATGAGAAACAGGCTGAGTTTGTGGATTCCCTATAGAGGACTGATATAGTGCTGGGCAGTCCTTTAAATAGTCAGGCAAAGAATACCAAACTTCAGTGCCTAGCTAGTTAGGGCACCTAAAACTATATTTAGGCATGTGACTAACCGGCCTGATTTTTCAAAGCTGCCTGGTAACCCTCTGGAATTCCAATAGAAGCTGCAGGTGTACAGTGCCAATGAAAGGCAATCCATTTGGTTAGGTATCCAAGTTCACATACCCAGGTATCTTATTCCTAGCATGTGTTAGGGATGGCTGATGACATCCGAAGTTGTTGGGAAATGTCTTAGTGAAAGCTGTAAAGCACAATATGGAATATGAAACCTGTTGGAGACCGTGCTCCAGCTGGGCTGAAGTGCTACAGCATGCTGATCTGGCACCTTTTTTTTTCTGGAGCGGGACCAGTTTCTGTTGGTCCTAGTTCAGGGGGCTCCTTTCTCTTCCCAGCTGCAGTGTGTCTTCTGAGCCAGCCGAGGCTGATGGGGGTGGGGGCATTCGGCAGTAGGTCAGCTGGAGGGAGCTTAGGACACTACAGCCAGGACTGGACAGAGGAGTGTGGGATCAGAGGTACCAGGAGCCCGAGGTGAAGCTGAGCAGTGGGATAATGGAGGGAGGAACTGGCACAGGGAGGGGAAGGCATGGACAAGATAGGGTCCATGGAGAATCACTCCCTGTGCACCCCGCTCCCTCTTATCTTTCTCCTAGCTCTCCCTGGCACCTCTCAGCACCCCCATAACCCCTTCCAGGGCACCTCAGAGCCCTGCATTCCAGCACTGCTGTGTAAACCCCTTCTAGGGTGCCTCAGAGCCCTGCATTCCAGCACTGCTGTGTTAGACTCCAGCCCTGACTGGAGACAGCTTCTTCTCCACCTTTGAAACTGATGGAGGCTTGTGACTATGTTCAAGTTTACTTGTTGGTAGGATACCAAAAGTTTTCCAGTGAGTGAATACAACAGCACCTGCCCAACAAGCTGAAAAATGTGTGTGCACTTCACTTTTCAGTTACTATGTCTTCCGCTGCTAGGGGAGGGAAAGGGGTTGGGAGGAAAGAGGCAAATATAAAGACAAAGGTCCAAAAAAACTAAAACCTTGGTCTGCCTGGCAAGCTCCTGTTAAGCATTTGTCACCAGCATAGAGAACCATTGTACAGGTTGAACCTCTCCAGTCTGGCAACATAAGTGGTCCGGCTTGATTTTAGTTAGCAGGATGTCCACTTATCATGGGTTTGGCCACGTTTCCTGCAGTCCACTAAAGTTTGTTTACAGCCACCAGTCCTGGCGCTCAGTGTTCTGTGCTGTTCTTTAACTCTAATTTACCCCTAAATATCTTCTAAGAGCCCAGTAAGCAGTGGAAGTGTTGGTAATGCTGCTAGACAACATTGACCTCTCATGGTCCAGCAAATTCTCTGGTTTGGCACCAGTCAGGTCCCGAGGACTGGACTAGAGGGGTTCAATCTGCTCTTAAAAATTTTAAATAGCAGCAATGTGGCTATTTTTTTATTATAAAATTAAAAAAACCAAAACAAATGCATGGTAGGTGCAATGAGTGCACATTTCTTTGGGCAAATCTTCAGTACTGTGACATGCAGAACGTTCAGGTAGGTAAGGATTAGCTGCAGCAACAAAAGAAGTTTGCCTTTAGATCGAAACTGTCCATAGCAAATTTAACCCCATATAGGAAATAACACTGGATATAGATAAAAAAATAGAACTACCATCCAACGGAAAAGCCAGACATGCTATGTTAAAATACCATGTCTCCCTCTTACATTTTAAGGTAGTTCTATTTTTTTTTTTATGATGCCACATATGAAATAATGTGTTATAAATGATCTTCAGAAGTGGAGCTCATAGAATTGTGACTCAGCCCAGGCCCAAATGTGATGCATAGTATAGTGAAATCCGCCCCCCCAAACCAGAATAATCAGTGCCACAGGATATGACTTGGACAACAAAAGGTAGTTTAGAAGTATGCAGAGGATCACACAATTATATAAATTGGAAGAGCATCTGTTACATTGCCTAAGCTTAAAAAAATGTCAATTCTCTTACTTCAGGGTGTGAACTGATTGTACTATCCTCTGGTACAATGACCCTTCTAATAAGAATTTTGGGTGTCTCTTTTAAAGCAATCGCTTGTTAATCAAACCTGGGCAGTTTGGCCTATCACAAGTCCTCGACTCAGTGGCTGTGCAGGCATATCCACAGGACCTGGTCCGCTTCTGATTGCCATTCCCACAGGTTACGCTACAAATGGACCATGGACTCCAGTCTCCTTCTCCGTCAATATAATCTATACAGGAACAAAGATGAGGAAGGAAATGAAAAACAAAAACCCTACTACTAAAAACTACTGTATAGACGGTGTTTTTTATTAAGTAGGCATAGCAAGAATGGAATCCAGATGTCTCTACCTGAAATCTGGGCTGAATGCCAAGCTTAAAGCCTGCTGTTTAAATGGTTTTCACACTTGACTATCCACAGGGACGCGTATGCAACATTATTTGAAAAAATATTTCCTTTCTCTTTTGACCTTTTGGCAGCCGAGAATCTTCAGCTGTAAAGCTGGGTCATGAACTAGCAGAACATCTATTCAAACTTTATTTTTCCATTGGTAGAAATATACTTTCTGATCACAAACTGATCAGAGACATAATACACACATTTACTTTACCTCCCCGCTTCCCCCCAAATATATCAATTGCACAAAACGATATTTAAACAGAATGCAGGTTGGATTCTGTCTGGGTAGTTGATGGTGTGTGGATATATTTCAGCTTTATTCTTTAATCTGCTCGCACATCGAAGTCAGAGAGCTTTGTTATAGAGTAAGTTACCGATGTAGCAAATTACACGCACTTTTCAAATCCACATCAAACATTTTATAGCACTGACTAAATCACTACGGATACATCTACACAGCAACATTATTTTGAAATAACTAGCGTTATCTTAGTCTGTGTCTACATAGCAGACAGTTATTTCGAAATAATGTCAAAATACTGTCAAACTGAAGGACTTCTTACTCCAACTCCTGTAACCCTCACTGTACAACGAGTAACGGAAGTTGGAGGAAGAGTGCTCTATTTCGAAATAAGTGCTGTGGAGATGCTCCCAATTTCAAAATAAGCTATTTTTATAGAATCATAGAATACTAGGACTGGAAGGGACCTCGAGAGGTCATCAAGTCCAGTCTCCTGCCCTCATGGCAGGACCCAGGACTGTCTAGACTATCCCTGATAGACATTTATCTAACCTATTCTTAAATATCTCCAGAGATAGAGATTCCACAACCTTCCTAGGTAATTTATTCCAGTGTTTAACCACCCTGACAATTATGAATTTTTCCTAATGTCCAACCTAAACCTCCCTTGCTGCAGTTTAAGCCCAGGAATAACAAGTTTTCTCCCCTCCTCCTTGTGACACCCTTTTAGATACCTGAAAACTGCTATCATGTTCCCCCTCAATCTTCTCTTTTCCAAAATAAACAAGCCCATTTCTTTCAGTCTTCCTTCACAGGTCATGTTCTCTAGACCTTTAATCATTCTTGTTGCTCTTCTCTGGACCTTCTGCAATTTCTCCACATCTTTCTTGAAATGCGGTGCCCAGAACTGGACACAATACTCCAACTGAGGCCTAACCAGCGCAGAGTAGAGCGGAAGAATGACTTCTCGTATCTTGCTCACAACACATCTATGCAATTGACGTAGTTCAATTTGTGTAGTTTATTTCGACTTAAGCCCTGTTGTGTAGAAGCACCCTAACTGTTGTCACTGAGGGTCGGATCTTTGGGTAAGGAACCAGCATTTAGTTCTATAATGACTGAGGCTTGTAGGCTCCGCTATAGTGCAAATAATAAGAACATGACTGAGCCCAAATTGAGTGAAATATTCCACTAACTGGTCTGGAAAGTCCAGTTCTGCTTAGTCCCCTTTCACTAAGATCAAACATGCTACTTCAGTGTTACACCTTTGCTAGAAGACCAACCAAGTTCCTGTTTCTCACTGTGGAATGCACTGGGCTAGTGCATGGTTTTCTGTTGGGGTCAGAAGTGTCTATTTTATAATAAGGTTTATTGTATTACCAGTGTGGACAGAAAACGTGGGAAATAAACCCACTTAAAGATGGGCATTTTAGCCAAAATTATTTGCACTGGGAATAGAAATCTTTTAACATTGATGCCCTTAGGTGTGGCAGAGCACTGTATATCTTTTCATAGTACTAAAATTCATCCACAAATACAAGTGCAAGAAGGACTTTAGTATTGAATACTGAGGGTGTATCTAGACTACTCAGATGTGCAGATGAATTTACTCAGCAAAGGGAAATGAAGCAGCGACTTAAATAATCACCGCTTCATTTACATAAAAATGGCTGCCACGCTGTGCCGATCAGCTGATTGTCAGTACAGCACGGCAGTCTAGACTGGGATCTGCAGACCCCAGAACCCTTTGTCGGCAGATCCTTTATGCCTCGTGAAATGAGGCTTACATTTCCCTTTGCCGAGTAAACTCATTTACATGGCTCTGTCAACGGAGCCATGTAGTCTAGACACACCCTGAGAGACAGAATTTTAGTGTACCTCTTCAAATAAACAATTCAGCAAGAAAGTTCTCTAAATTAAGGCTGTAGTGTCAAACCTATCCCAAACAAGGGAAACTAAGGCTGAAACAGTCAGCTACAGCCACTGTGGGCGTAGCTAATATAATATGAAAGACATGGAATAAAAACACCACTTTGAAAACATGCTCCAAGTAAAGCCGTAAGTATATATTGATTTACAGCTTCATCTTTCGAGGCTTTGTGCTACTTGCAACTCCTATAGTATGTATGCTAAATGACCTCCCAGAAGTCATCCCAAAACATGCAGCTGCAGACCAATGCGATGGTAAGTAAATAATTCCGCCTTTTTATTTTCTGTTTTCAGCAACTGTTTCATACAATTGTTTTCCACATGATTCATCTGGACCAGAATTACACACACACACACAATATCCCTGCTATTCACGCCACTCCCTATATGTGAATCAACATAACTTGCCTTTCTTAAATCTCAACCAAACATGACCACATTGTAGTTCTCACTCATCTATCCTCCAATTATATTTTAGCTTCACTGCACATGCTTCTAAATTTATACTTATCCTTAACCTAAGAATAAACAAAATCTTATTTGTTTTGCTTAAAAAAGTACACTTATGCCTAAAAATAAACTCTTGGAGGATAGCTAGTATAATTTTCATGATTATAGACTTACAAGTGGAATGTGGCTACTACAGTCTACTTTGTACATCTGCACAGGTTTGTGTTTAAAAGCTGATGAACAAAAGCCACATGTTGGAAAAAACTCTATTTTGCTTGGCCTACTTGCAGCAGTGCCTCATCATTCTCATTTCCCCCAAACCAGTTTTACAATCCCAAGGTGCCTCTAAAGACCTGGAATGCGCACTCACCATACTCTGGCTGCTCCTTAGATTCAAAAGTCCGGTGGCTGGGTGCATGCCTATCCCACCCACCAAGAGGGTTTAGGAAGTTGCTGTCTTCGGTGGTGCTGTCATGCTTGTAGTCCTGGTCACCGCTACTCATGCGAGTCCAAGTGGATGATCTTTGCCACCAGTTCCTCCAGTCAGGGGATGGGACTGGCCAGCTAGGCTTGCTGCTCTCTTTGGGCAGCTCTTTCTCTGGTTCAGTATCAGGGCCATCAACTACTTCTATGGTAACCTAGAGAATTCAAGTTACACCAGGTCAGTGAGCATGAGAAATCCAATGCTAGATCATTGTCCACACAGAGTCTCTATGCATCAGCGGGGAATCTTCTAAACAGCAGAGACAAGGGACTAATGTTATCCTGCAGACGCGACTTGTAATCCTTTAAGGCTAGCGATGCAGATTTACTGTAAGCCCAGAGATATGTAGAAATTTGGTGATTCCTTGTGCCACCTTTGCCAAGTCAAATCTTGGAGCAAAGGCAAACATATATATATATTTTTAAAGAAATCCTAACAAAATCAGAACCAAACCTGCATCTTAAACCTTTATGCTGAAGCTTTCTGTCTTCACGGGGAAAACTGCTTAAAAGTTTATGAAGAGAGAGGAAAAAAACAACCCCTCTTACTTTAATGTCATTGGGCCTGAATATGAAGCAAATGTGAAAAGCACTTGACCAGAATGGTAGCCTTAGTTCTGGACTTGGCATTGGTGCAAACAGCTATAGCAAGCACAGGTCAATGCAGAATCAGCTGCATTCTCTTTGCTTGTTGAGTACCTATTCAAGTGTGTCGGCTTGGTGGCTGGCCAATAAGAGGATTTGCACCTTAGATTATCCTGTAGTACAGTAATACTTTGGGCTGACACTAGTGTGTGGAACCACAGGGGAGGTGGTCACAGATACATTCTGGCTGTGTCTACACTGGCAAGTTATTCCGGAAAATCAGCCACTTTTCCGGAAAAACTTGCCAGCTGTATACACTGGCCGCTTGAATTTCCGGAAAAGCACTGACGATCTAATGTAAAATCATCAGTGCTTTTCCGGAAAAACTATGCTGCTCCCGTTCGGACAAAAGTCTTTTTCTGGAAAACTGTTCCGGAAAAGGGCCAGTGTAGACAGCACAGTAGTGTTTTCCGCAAAAAAGCCCTGATTGCGAAAATGATGATCGGGGCTTTTTATGCGGAAAAGCGCGTCTACGTTGGCCACGGACGCTTTTCCTCAAAAAGTGCTTTTCCGGAAAAGCGTCCTGCCAATCTAGACGTGCTTTTCCGAAAATGCTTTTAACGGAAAACTTTTCTGTTAAAAGCATTTCCGGAAAATCTTGCCAGTGTAGACGTAGCCTATATTCTTTTTTTTTAACCCTGAAATATCTTTTATATCCAGGGTTCCCATGGGAATTTTAATAATAAATGACCGAGTCAACAGTCTTTCAACAAAATATAATAATATACAATTTATATCACTGCTCATTAGAGAGGCTTTAAGCATTTTTTGCCAATTGTCACAACCACCCTCTGAAGTAGATTTGATTATACTTACTTTACAAAGGAGTAAGAGGAGGTACATTCAAATCTAAAGTAGGACAGGCCACTATCAATCATGAATAGAACAGTCTGAATTCAAGGTTCCCGACTCAAATCTCTAGACCATACACACATTCATGAATACTAATAAATACACACTCCTTTGCTGCTTTTCAAAGCATAAAAAGAAATGAATTAATTATGAATCTCCTAAGTAAATGTTGTGTGTGCACATACATGTGTATTTAGGGAGACTAGCAATCCAGAATCTAGAGGCCCCGTGTCATGGAAATACAATGTGACCATAGACAAATAAATTATGGGCCGAGTCACTGGTATGCCCTCACTGTTTTGTGCTGCTCCAATAAATGCAATGCAGCTAGAAATAAGGATGTTAAGCAGGTAATTCATTAGTGTAGTCAACACATTTTTTATCAACTACACAATTAACTGATAAGGGAAGGTAGTGAAAACGCTCAGTCTTGGCTTGCACTGGGTCCCAGAATCAACCCTGCTGTGGCTCTGCATTAGTAGGGGACTAGGGAGCAAGCGTGCAAGGACGCTGGCTCAGTCTCGGCTCGTACTGGGTCCTAGCATAATACATCCCTTACCCCACAACGGCTCTGCAAAATTAGGGGACAACCAGCATCCTCTCACGCCAGCTCCCCACTTCTCTAAAAATGAAGAGCCGCAGCAGGAGTGTGTGTGTGTGTGTGGTGGTGGTGTTGATAGCGTTAACCGATAGGTTAATCATTTGGTCGACTACACTCTTACATCCCTAGCTGGAAACCCAGTTCAATTTGCTATGTAAACTAGACTTTTTGGTGCGCTAAAGCAGCCAGAGTGTAGAGGTGGTTCTGTCATAAAATGTGCATAGGTCTGTAAATGTATACATTTGATACAGTTACACCTATATGTTACAGTGCATTTACATACTGCTTCCTTTCTGACTACAATCAGAACAATTGAGATGAAAGACTAGGAAGGCCTTAGGCAGTTCTATTGGGCTTGTGTAGAAAGAAGCAATTCAGGTATGCAACTGTTGTAACAAAAGAAGTCTCTGGGGAGAAGATAAACAAAACTTTACTGAAACAGCAAGGAGTCCGGTGCCACTTGAAAGACTAAAATTTATTAGAGCAACAAGGCCCACACTCTCATCTCTGTATCACTTCCCTTTTCTTTTCTTTTCTTTTCTTTTCTTTTCTTTTCTTTTCTTTTCTTTTCTTTTCTTTTCTGCATCTGAGAGAGGCTATGTCTACACCACTACATTATTTTGGAATAACTAACGTTATTTTGAAATAAAAAAGAGCATGTCTACACAAAAAGCCATTACGTCAAAATAATGTTGAGCTGGAGGACTTCTTACTCCAACTCCTGTAACTCTCATTTCATGAGGAATTGGGGAAGTCAAAGGAAGAGTTATTTCAACTTAGCTACGCAATTGACATAGCTGAAGTTGCGTATTTTAATTTGACTTTTGCCCTGCAGTGTAGATGTGCCCAAAGTGAGTTGTATCTCACAAAAGCTTATGCCTTAATACCTTAATAAATTTGTTAATCTTTAAAATGCCACCAGACTCCTTGTTGTTTTTGCTGAAACAGACTAACACGGCTACCTCTCTGAAAAACATACTGAACAGTTTTGTCTTACATTCATTTTAATGGTGGAATCAAAATGATTCCTCCATCAGAATACACTGCAATTTTTACAAACCCAGAATTAAAATAGATTTCATATGCTTGAAACTGTGTCAATTCATGGGCTGTATGGATCCAAACAAAACAGTGTTGTGAAGCCAGTAAGTGGCAATAAACTAAGTGCTTTGTATCAGTGTAAAGACAATTAGCTATGCTTGGAAAATCCTATCATTGGCTGAATGTCAACAAGATTTTTTTTTTAAAAAGCAAAAACTAAACAAGAAAACAAGAGACTTTTGAAAGGGAGTATTTCACGATCATTGTCTTTCCTTGCTATTTTTAAATTGTAATAACATTTATTATGATGAATTCTCTGGGTATTTCAAGCAGATGTAATCCAAAATCCTAAAAGAATTTCATTTGAAAAAATTACTCTGAATAATTGTTAACACAGTATAAAAGGTCTTCGAATGGTCAGTTACCTTTGCTATAGTTTAATGTGTTTATCAGACAGTTTTATTTCAGGATACTTTTAAGACAACAAGGATTGCACATATCAAAGTAAGCAGCATTAATTTCTTCTTAAAGTTGGGGTAAAATAAAAAAAAACCCCACATCTTCCAGTTATTAAATAATTCCATTATTCTTTCTGATGAGCATAAGAAAATGGATTTAGTCACCCACTATTCTGCTATTTTCCCAAGCATATCACTCTAATGCAAACTGTAAGGTGTTTAGACCCATCTGAAACAAAAGGATTATTCATAATGTGTATACTATTTACTTTCACAGAGATTTCACTTCTCCCAACTCTAGAGAGTTCATCTATTTCCAACATGGCCGTCACCGCAGAATTTAGCTGTCAGACTGTGTAAATTCACATTAATGTTTTTAAAAGTTTTTGTCTTATGTAACTTGACAAAGTATCAGGTTCCTATAAAATAACCTACCTGCCAAATCAGGATTTCCCCCTTGCCAGCTGCTTCATGTATCATTTACTATCGGCCTGTGTCTATATTGCAATGGGGGCAGCAGAGCAGTAGAATGGACACAACAGCACAGCACCCTTTATGGTACACAGCAGTGGGCAACTTTGACTTAAAATTCAGAGGGGAGGGAAAGCTAACATTCACATGAACACTGTGGCATCACGTTCCAAGTTCAGCACCCCTCAGCGCTAAGGAGCATTTAATGGGTGGTAGCAGGAGTTGGAAGAAAGGAAAAAATAGAAAATAAATAGGCGGTCACTTCCCCTTCATGACTTCACTCCTGTTGCTAATGGGAAGGAAGGAAGTGATTCTATTTTACACTGAGTAACCCTGCCGCACTGGCAGGGTTTGCATGTGTTAGGGAGCTGGCATGTGTCAAATCAATGGAGACCAACAAAAGGGCTTTTCTGTGAGGAAGAAGAAATCTGTGCTCCCAAAGGAAATATGGCACTGAATTTAAAACACACCTCATATTTTAGAGGGCCTCCAATGAATTAATTTATTCAAGTGCAATGGTGCATTTGGCTGAAGCTCTGAGACCAAGCTAAAAAGCAGCTACAATACACTAATGGCAACAGCTGCTCTGTTAAACCATCTAACCAACGTTAAAGAACTGTACAAAGGCAGCTTGAAATGATGAAGAGGTTGAAAAATGGGCCAAATTTAAACAGGGCTAGCAGGTCACAGCAAAGCCGGCAAGAGAGTTTCCCCTGTATTACTTGCAAAGGACTTTAAGTATTGGACAACTCTTACAAAGATCTTCTAACCAGACCTGACAGTTTTTGTGGCTCTAATTGTTTGTAGCATAATGGATCCAATAACTTTATATTCAATAATGATTTTGTAGTTGGAGTAGTAAACTTGAGGCAGAGGTAGTGTAACAGCCACCATTTCTTAACAATGCAATTATATGCCATATAACGCCACCTCCCCAGGAATACAAAAAAAGGGGGGAGGGGAGAGCACACTTATGGCACAAGACAGCAATGATTTCTTTACTGCAAACTCCAAAGACAAAGCCTATAAAAGAGGATTCGCAGGAATATCATTTTAAACTGTTTTCACAGCCTAGAGTTGCCAACCTTCTCAGTTTGGCTAGGAGTCACCTGGAATTGGGCTCTATCCCCTGGAGGTTACTGAAGCAAACTGGGGAGATTTTAAACCACTAAAAGTCTGGTGGCATAGCAGGGATAATACAGGCTCCCTGCCTGCTCTAGACCTGTATGGTTCCCAGAAGCAGCTGGTATGACTCTGAGGTCCCTGGATGTGGGGGAAACAGGGTGTGTCTGTGTATTTTCCCCCTCTCTGAATGCTGATTCTGCAGCGCCCATTGCCTGGAAACTGCTGCTAATGGGAGCTGCAGGGGTGGCACCTGCAGGCAGAGGCAGAGTGAAGAGCTGCCTGCTTCCCTCCAGCCCAGGAGCTGGACAAAAAGAACTGCTTGCTTCCCTCCAGCCCAGGAGCTGGACACACTGGCCACTTCTGGGAGCGGCACAGAGCTAGCAGGGACCTGCCTTAGCCCCATTGTGCTGCCAATCATGAGTGCTGCCCAGCCATGAGTTTGGTGTAAAGTAAACGAAAGAAGGCAGATGGAGTGAGTGGGGCTGGGGCCTTGGAGAAGGGGCAATGAAGGGACATGGTCTCAGGGAAGGGGTGGGACAGCAGTATTTGGGTTTCAGTGATTAGACAGATGGCAACCCTACCGCAGGCTGTCAGGATGATAAAGTAAACTTCTACAATTTATAGGGGAAATGTCTTCAGTTTCAAATGTATTTATTATTAATCTCTGTATATGTCCCAGAAAACCAAGCAGGACCAAGATTTTCTGAAAGAGGACCCCAGAGCCGGGGGCTCCTAAATATATACTCGAAAGAAGGAGCCTAAAATTCTGGTCACATTTAGGTGCCTACATTGAATTAGGTGCTAAATTCATTTAGGAGCCTAAAGTTAGTCTCCTGCTTCTGAAAATGTTGGTCCTGCTGACCAGTGTTTTCTTGAAGAGAAGGCTAAGTGTCTTCAGCTCAAGTTCCTTTGTCCGTGCTTGTGTATCATTGCATGTGTTGTCCAGTTTTCAGACACCACATTATCCAGTGAAAAAGGAGCTCATAATGACAATTATTTATTTGTAAGAAGCAAGGAAAATGTTACCCCTCATTTATCCACTCTCTGGCTTTAAATATTCAATAATTTTCCTGCCAGTGAACGTATTTTCCCCTCCCCCATACATGCTTTGTGGTTTATGCTGTTATTTGTTGTTATATATATATATGTACAGTGGCACACCATTTACGTCAGCCTGCAGCTTCTGGCCTTTGTACAGCTTCCCAAACTACCCTCCTCTGTAACTTCATAAATATACAACTGGAAGGCTTCTAGTAGCAGAAAGCACGCATCCATCAATATATATGCATTTACTATCTAGGCCTGTCAAGTACTGGGATGGCACTAGGTCCAGATCTGTAAAATTTTGGAACATGACAACTTGTCTATGAAGTAATGGAGCAACCAGCTTTGATACAATTTATTGTTTCCTGTGGTGGAGTGGCTGCTTCACACAGCCTGGGAAGGAAGGAGGAAACCTATACAGCACTCTGGCCAATCAGGGAGACGCTTTTAAAGAGCCAACCAGAGGGTGGCTTGCTGAGGCAGATCTGTATAAAAGGAGCTGCTCAGCGGTGCGTGAGCAGTTAGACCCTGATGAGGGAAGGTGCAGAACCTGTTTCCTAGAGAAGCACCAGTGGGACAGCAGTGCTGGTCAGGCTCAGGGGGGATAGAGCGGGAGGCTCTAGCCTGATACCTGCCAGGCTGCTGATCTTGCTATAAGGGCCAGGACGGTGCAAAGTTTCACAGGGGAAGTGGCCCAGAGAACAAGAGGCAGTGGAAGGGCAATGAAGGATGGCAGGACAAGGATGCTGTCAGAGGGTCCCTGGGTTGGGACCCAGAGTAGTGGGCAGGCCTGAGTCACCCCCTTCCCTCTTGCACTATGTCTGGCCACCACTGACGTGTGGTCTGGAAGGACTATGGCTTGCCCTTCAAGTGAGGAGCTGAACCGAAGCTGCAGCTGGCCATGGTGGCAGGCGCTAGACCAAGGACTGCCAATATAACCCCTGAAGTGGGATGAGAGACCACTGTACTCGGCACTGTCGGAGGGCAGTGTCCTGAAGAGAATACCGTGGACTGGGAGTGACGCGGGTCTGGAGTGGGAGCGTGGAGCGAAGACGGGTGAGACACTGCTAGAAAGGGACACCCTGCTGAATAAAGAACTAATTCCCCGAGCAACCAGCAGGAGGTGCTGCAGCAGTGAGTCCTGTCCTGTGACATTTCCTACTAATGTCTGAGACTAAGTAAAGTACATCTTTATTTTTAGACTTGGATGCCTAAAAGACAGACACATACATTGGTAATTTTGTAGGTGGGTGAGTATAGAGCACGAGGAATGTATTTAAAAAGAGAACTTGTTATAATAGTGCATTATGTTTTTGTAAGCACAAGTTTTAGGCAGATTAATATTTCACTAAATTATTTTGGTTAAACATGACTTCTTATGAATGCAGATTTTACTTTAAGACACTAAATTACATCAAATTACTGTCTTTAAGATGCAAGTGACTTAGAATAGGGGATTCCAAAACCAAGAAGAAGATTTTGACTAAAAACACATATCAGATATTTGCAGGCAGAGGGACTTTCCCCTCAAGATGGCTGCTGGTGAGAGAAACATTTAATTCTTTCTTTTGTTCTGTAGGTTAGAATCTAATCTACAGTCATTCCACTGTTGAGATTTACACTAATGTTAATAAATGAGACTCTGACCATAATTTCCAAGATATTCATTTCCTGTTAGTCACATGGCCAGTGGTTGGCCACAGAATAAGAGAGGGAAAACGCTGCCCAAACCCAAAGAATGTATAACAACCATATGAAAATAACATGATGCTGTAGATGCTTTTCTTTCGTAAGAAGACTATAATTTTATCTCTAGCTGCGTGCAGGCAATGACATTCACGGAGGGGCTCAGCAGGGATTGGGATCTGTATACCAGGTTGGCAAAAAGTATCTAGGCTACTCAGAGCTGGTGACAGATTTCGCTGGGCCCGAGACAAGATAGGGGAGCTCAGCTCTGGGCCCTCAAGCAGAAGCGGCTGGGCTAGGAAGCTAGTCTCCCTCACCCAGCCCTCAGGACTTCCCAGATCATGCCATGCAGGGCTCTGGCGGTGATTTAAAGGGCTTGGGGCTCCAGCTTCTGCCGTAGTATTGATGGCAGGAGCCTTTTTGAATCGCCAGGCCCCGAGGTAATTACCTCCTTGAGACTCTCTCTCCACATATGGGTCGGGATACCACACAGAGGGAGGGTATAAGCAAGCGCAGCTGGCAGTGCCAAACAGACTGAAGCAAAACTTAACATGGGCTTGGCTGGGTATTTGCCTTGCATGTCATATATCCCAGTCTTAACATGGTGCATACCTGAATGTTGGGGTTTTGCCCATTGATGTCTGCTTTTGATAGGTCAGGGAAGTTTGGGAGATCCAGGAGGAAGGATCTGGGTCCGTCTCTTTGTAACGACGTGTGTCCATTTTCCTGCCTGAATCGCTGTTTAGGGAATGGCCTGTGTGCTGCCTGGTGGTCAGGATATGGTCTTCTGTCTTTGGGGTTTAATGTGAAGCTGGGTTTGGGAACAGACTGGCCATCTGCACTCAGGGTGTTCTAGGGAGAAAGGAACACAACAAATGAACACCATCAACAACAGTCACTATAAAATCCAAGACATCCACAACTAGAAAGTAACCCATGCTTCCTGCTGCAGAGAAAGGTGAAAAACTACCAGGGTCTCTGCCAATGTAACCCCAAATACAGAGATCAGATAGATTCTGAGCATGTAGGCAAGACCTAGGAGTCAGACACTTTGGGTAGAGCGAGCCCGGAGTACAGCAAAATGTTTCTCATGTCCCATCAGTGGCTGGTCTAATCCTTCAGGCTCTTCCTTTTATGTCTTGAACATTTTCCCTTTTAAGGGAGCAAATTTTCATGTTTTCTTAATGGTGGAATGGAATTTCCCCAAGGTTTGGATTAAAAAGTTTTTGCTTTTGTTGAATGTGTTTGCAGTATATCTTACAGAAGGCTGCCTGTGTTGCCACTAGCCACCTTGCCACTGCCTTTGACCTAGCCAAAGTGATACATTTTGTATCAAAACACTTCCCACTGAACCCGTCCCCTCTCACGCCTGGTCCCAGGAGCTCAACCTCTGTCTCCCTGTCTGGGTTACCCGTTGTGCCTCTCCCTTTGAAATGTAGCAAGAGCCATGGGCAGCTCTTGCTACATTTCAAAGGCAGAGGCACAGTGGGAATAGCAAGCGCTCCCTCCCCACCTTATCGAGTAGTCAATGGATTGTCTCAGGATCTTTAACTTACAGTTCAGAGAGACAGAAAGCCTGGATGGGATAAATGTTACATTCACGTTTTAAAATAACAACTACAATTAAAATTAAATGGCAACATGTGTTTCTACTGTAGCATGTTTTTGGCAGTATTGCTGGTTAAGCACACGCTCCACCTACTCCCCTTGGCTCAATTTAAGCTTGCATATCTTTTCTTAAGATCTCAGCTAATAGCTTCAGTGCATTTGCATTTAAATAATTTTGGATATCCATATAAGAGCTCCAAATTACATTCTGAAAGATTTTATAATATAATCTTCACACTTTCATTTTTTAAATTTGCGATTTTGTTCTAAACACAAATCTAGGATCAAGAGAAATTGGATCTGAAAATAAAAACGAAACAGGTTCCCTCCGAAAAGTAGACACAGTAGCATCTTATTCAGCTATTATGTTGTTTGGAAATATTGTTTGTTCCCAAATAAAGTTTAACCAAAATCTGGATTTAGGTCAATTAAAAAAAATCATCTTGAGGCTGTCTTTATTCATCAAAAAAAATCAGGAATGAGTAAAACCCAAACCTTCATTTTTCTTCCCATTTATCTCTAAAAGAGAAAAGTTTGTCCAGAAGATAATGACCAAGCTTTTCATTTTAAGGGGAATAAAAGGATAAAAGTTCTGCTTTCTCCATCTATAATTTTCCTGTAGCGAGATGAAAATATACTCTTAATTGTTTAAAATACTAGAGGAAAAGTCAGTGACTGGTCTTTATAGCTATGATTCCTGCAAATGTGCATCAATTTCCTCCTAAATAAAGAGTTAACAGAGGACCGACTGAAAGGAGAGGAAGAAAAGTAAACTAGGTAACTCATTAAAACCAAAAGAGCCCAACATCCATCCATAAATTCTCACTCAAGCTTACCTACTGTTATCACACATTAGAGAGGCATTTAGTAAGAGTCATCTGAGGTAACAAGTTCTTCCCACATAGTGAGTCCTGTCAATCACAGTGCTAATTACACTATGCTAGTACAACCTGTCTATTTGGTCAGAAGGACTGAAGGAATTAGTAATAGGTATGCATGGCTTTATAAATCTGTATCACTAAATTAAATTCAGCAAGGTTCAGTATTGACCTAAGGTGTGGCACACAAGCACGCCGAAAAGACACTCAATTATATTTTCACCTGACTTGAACTGGGGTTACAAAACTTAATACCCCTTAACATGAGTGGAGTTAGGGGCTACTGTTACGCTTCCTGCCATCCAGTAGTTCAGTGCCTGAGATAAGATAAAGGGGTGTTTTTAATTCACTCCATAGCAGGCAGGTGACCCTATTATATAACCATCATCAGAGCTATTGCCAAGACTGAAAGGAAATGGAGACTGGATTCCCAGAGCAGCACAGAGACTATGCAGGTGAGGTGAAGGAAAACGCGTTGAAGAGTTAGCCAGCACTGTAATATTTCCTGTTACTGCGGGGTTCTGCCCTAGATATCGAAGGTGGAGGGTAGCCTGGTAGTTCTTTTGGTTTCCTCGTTGTTTTTGACATTCAAATAGCTACAGCTGACCAAAATTCTGGCTTCCAGCTGTGACTGTTAAGAAAGCTGCACCACTTACTACTAGACAATTAGTTGGTTACAGTAGCTCCTGTCTCTACAACCTCCAGATTCAGTTCCAGGTGGGAGTGAGTGCTCAGAGCGTTAAAAAAGGCTCCAGCTGGTCCAAAACTCAGCATTCCACCTCACAAGCAACACTGGCAAATGAAAGCACATCATGCTGGTTAGTATGTTGCACAAGGTCTGTTTTGAGTTGACTGTCCTCCTCTTTTAGGGCCCTCTGTAGCACTAGACCAAGCTACCAAAAGGCACCTCAGGGTATATTTACATTGTGAGTGATACAGTGGCATAGCTGCAGCGCTGCAACTATTCTGCAGTTAAGGCAAACACTTGGAACAGTGACAGGAGTTTTTCTGTTGCTGTAGTAAATTTGTCTGTAAGAAGTAGTAGCAAGGTGCATGTAAGAACTGCAAACTAGTGTTATCTGCAGTAGGTCCAAATTTGACTTGACTACATCAACATCCCTATGAAATATAGCTAAGTCAACCTAAGTTTTCGCAGCAATCTCTCACAACGCCATTTCAGAGGAATGGCTAACCTGCCATTTTCAGTGTATTGGGTTTAGGAGCCTTCTCAGCACATGCCTAATTCCCTTACACTGGAGTCAGAATGACCCCAGCCCTCACCACCTCATTTACTTTGTCGTCCTGCAGCAGCAGCAACAGCACAGAAAAAGAAGCTGGAAAGTGGAAGAGGAGAGATGTGTACTTGTGCATACACCTCCCCCTTCCACCTCTTAATTTTTAAACCTCCTCCTGAACATATGGGTCCAGTTCAAGTCCTCTTGCCTCCTACAGGTCTGCTGTGTGTTACCTCCCAAATTCTTGAATACTCAAATACCGAATATAGTAGGGATGTAAAAAAGTTTTTAAAAAGAAACTGTGTAACTGTTCAGAATTCTTAGCCATTATATAGTTACATGCATGCAGGGCTCTGCAGTACGAGGTTTATACTGCAGAACTTGCTGCACAGCTGGCTTTCCAGGAGCAGGGCTGACCACCAGAGCCAGTGCACAGCAGAAGTGGGCTTATACTATAAGCCAGATCTTGGTGTGCACCAGCTCTGTTTGTTAACCCTGCTCCTGGGGAGCCTGCTGCTGCCTCGCACTGCGAGCTCTGATACATGTGGGGCAGCAGCTGGCTCCCCAGGAGCAGGCTGGAAACGGGTGCATTCCCACCCTGGCACTTGCAGTGCCAGTGGGCCCAGCCAGGCTGGAAAAGCTCCCCTGCCCAAGTGAGGTAGGGGGGCTGCTCCAAGTTGGCCAGGCCACTGGTTAACCAGGAAATCTCACCCAGTTAGAGTGAGGTTAGCCAGTTACACCCCTAATCTTAAGCCAAACCACCAATTTGTGCCCTTTCGCTTGCTTAGGACATGTGAAGCCTGAAAGGGGTTTTTGTTTTATCTGTTTATTACTTTAAAAGTACCAAGAGAATGTCAAGTCAGACATGGACATAGTCATTTTGCTGGGCTACTTATTGGGGTCCCCAGGAGCATATACTGATTTTCCTGGGAGCTTTCCATGCCCCTTGCAATTCCTTCTTGCACGCTGTAGTAAATTGGGTGTTAGAAAAGATAACAGCGAGAAAGGCGAGCTACTAATTGTGATGGCATTACCCTACTACTTCTTCTCGCCTTCCAGGCAGACTTCCAGGGCACCCCTGAATTTCTAAGCACAAGCAGGGGAGAAAAACGCCCCTTACCAAGCAGGTGCCAAACCCACCTCTGTTATTCTGAAGGCCCCTTTCACTCGGTCAAGTGGCCCATCCCTCCTCCCCCCACCCCAGGCAGCTCCGCAAACGAGCAGGCCTCCCCTGCATTGGGCAACGGCGGGGGGTCACAACTGAGACAGACTCTAGCAGAGGGAGGCTGAGTATGACTTGTCCCCTTCCCCTCCTGTTAAGCTGACAGGCGATTGGGGAGGGATAAGTGGCTGGCCAACTGCTGCCCCCTCTGCCACGTGGAAACTGAGACCCTTGCTGGCCTGGAGGTCACGAGGCCACCGCCTTCTCTAGCCCGGCTGCTCCTCAGGCCGGTACTCACCTGAGAAGTCGTGAACAGCCATTCAAACTCCCGCCTCACGCTGAAAACTGCCCCTCCCCAGAGAGGCTGAGAGAGCGGATGTCAAGTCTGTTCCCCACTCTGGCACTGAATGCAGAAGGTGGGGGCAAGCAAGAGAGCTTCAAACCCTTGGCTCTACAGGCACTAGTTACAAAAACTTCCCCCCAGAATCCTAATACACAGATTTTGGAGAATTTGCTGCCACCATCAAGTGCTTTTTGATCCCTAAAAAGCCAGGGGTACCGCAAGCTCTTTAGCTCCAAAAAAAGCTTGAAAAAAGGAGAAAAACAAGCTGCAGTCTTTGGTGGCTGAACCTACAGTCAGAGGCATGCAGATACAAATCACCAGCTTAAAAGAAGTGATTTTTATTACAAAACAAAAGATAAACTTGATAAAGCACACTTGGTTGCTAGATGTTACAGAGCAACCAAGGAAAACAAATTTAAAAAACAGAGAAAAGTCTCGGCACAATGCTTAGATGGTAGTAAATGGGGAGGGGAGGCATAGATTCACACAGAGCAGTTCAAACCAAACCACAAAATAAAGAAAAATTACTCTGAACACAACTGGACTCACATTTCCTTAGTACTTACTTTTAATTTTCCCTTTGTTCAGTCTGTTCCCAGAGCCTGAATTCCATAGTGAGGTAGGGGGGCATGGTTGTCCTGCCGGGGTTTAAATCATTCTGTCTCTCTCAACTCTTGGTTTAACTCTCCCATACAAAGAAAGCAGGCAGGGAACCTATGTCCAATTCAAATTTCAACTCTCTATTTCGATTGGCTCTCCCAGCCAATAGTTGCTAGGTACCTGAGTTAACTCTTTAGTCATGGGGTGCTGGTCAGCACTCCCCCTGCTCATGACAGCGGAGCCCGGCACGGACCCCACTCCGGATTCAGAGTGAGGCAGGGGCCAGGGCTGGGCCTCGCTCCTGGGAGAGAGGGGGAAATCAGTCCCAGTCTTTCCCCGGTGGCTGGACGGGGGAGAGAGACTCAGGCAACACGGTCACCTCTGCTTTCCCTTGGCTGGCCAGAATCAGCCCCATGGCAGACC